TCAAAAGTGTAAACGTGCAGAGTATTACTCTTGGCTAAGAGGAAGTGACTCCTGCTGCTCATTTCACAGTATCCTTTCACACAATCATGTCAAAAGCTTTTTTTAATACTTTAAAGAAAAATGTAGTGTGTAAAGTGTCTTTTTATTTTTTATAACAACGTGTAATGAGCCTCTTCAGAATGACATTTAAAAAGATTGACTTTTCACTCTAAAATAATTTCTCTTGGCTGATGATATTAACTAAAATTAAATTAATGCATCAGAATAATTAATATTGTCATCATTACATTAATTTTCATATGCCAAATTAATTTTAATTTTAAAAAAATATTATTGCATTATGATTATGTATTGATAGAATAATTAAAAGACATTTTGTATTTATATTTGTAGCATTTTGAATAGAATCTTGTTTGGACACTTAAGGATGTCTAACAAGAAAATAGTATCAACATTCGATGCATGTAACAGTACTCTGTAAGGAACAAAGCTAAACTTTGAAGTTAATTAGTATCGAAATTAGTGTTAAAAGTTGACTATGCTGTATTTCCCTAAGTTACTCTAATGATACATCCTTGATTCCCCTGATAGTTTGACAACTCCCAGCGATACTAAGTGAGTCGTTAACGTATTTTGAAGAGTACAAATTTCATCAATGTCTTTTTTTACTTGTCAGTGAAGATTAACTTTAAAAATCCAATTAGAAATGTAGGTTGCAATATACAAAGTGTAGAAAAAATGTCTCTATTCGAGAAAAATACATGTCTACTCTTAATGGTCATTTTTGCTTTTAAGATTTATTCAAGGCATAAAAGACCCAATAACATTTTGAAACATCAAGGGTGGGAATAAAAGGCTGAAGTTTACAATACGATGACTAGTATAAAACCACACTATTTATTTGAAATCTGACAGTTTTTAATGGTAAGCTTAAGAGACATGTATCAAAAGCAGTTCACATGAGTGTACTTTATAAAGGCACAAGAACTATGAGTGAGAGAAAACATAAACTTTGTACAATGAAAGTGTATAAAGACAACTACATAAAACGAACAAAGTAGTAGAAAAAAGATACGAAATTGATGAATCGTTGAAGCAACCTTTGATACTTGTTTCCTAGTTTCAACTAAAGAAAACTTAATTACATTGGACAAACTAGAGCAACTAATTCTCATAATTGAAGAAGAGTTGATAGAACACTCTATTAACAACATAATATAAAAATCCAATAGACAAATAGAAAAAAATTATTGTTGATAGCTGTAAAAACATAAATGTAATTTTAAATTCACCGAACTGTAAAAATATTGGTTCAATCTTTTTGTTCAGAGCTGCTGAAAGAAGTTAATCCTCGAGATAACTAAAAATATCTTCGATATATCAAATGTAATAGTTTTGATAAAATAGGAAAGTGAAAAATCAGGGCTGTTAAGGTCAAAATGCCAAAAATGGCTATCGTGTAAAAAGAGGGTGAAATGAAATCTGGTGAGAAAATATCCATGAAGTGTATAATAAGTGACATATTTTAAATCCAACCCACATCTTTTTCAACCTCATATTAGGGGTTTTCCGTGATCAATATTACGAAAAATATAGAAAGTTCTCTCTTAAAGAACCCACATGTTCAAACTTTATGTTTATCTAAGCTTTCTTAATCTTCTTACATTTTACTTTATTTTCGTGTTTTATTTTCTCTTTTGGAGTTAAAACTTTATAATGTTTCCTACAAATATACCCAAAGGAAAGAATGGAAACTATAGATAAAGAATATAAAAAAAAAAAAAACAAGCAAAAAATAAAAATAAATTTAAAAAAAAGTAATTTATGATGTTTCAAGTAAAAAATGCAGTTGAGTAAAATATTTAAATACCACCTGTATTTTTATTCGCTTATCATGCGATTTAATCGTCGATAAAAGAAAAAAATTACTCTCGTATTACCCTTCAATTTTTTCCAACCAACTACAAGACCACAAGAGTGTAAATACCCCTCGTCAGATAGCGCTACACGATTCTTGGGTAAACGATAAACTTTACCGACAGGATACAACATCCTGTGCTCTTGTATCACTCTAAATGTGGCTTGTAATCATATGCATAAATCTTCATATCTCTTCTGATACGCATCGTTAATTTATACTCATTTATGCCATAGCCAATTATTTCATGGATTGAGCTGAATAATTTATTACCAAAACTGCAATTATGCCAATAACATCAAAAACAGCTAATGAATTTACCTTCTTGCAAACGATTACACGAAGTTTGTGTTGCCATATAAATTAAATAATGATTCAATTTTGAGTTTGAGACAAAAAATTAATTTAAATAGCAAATTATTATAAAATTATCGTGAAACTTTAAAGATTTGTTTTAATGAAAACCTTAATGGATTCTGTTCCTGGACAATGATTACAAATTTTAATCAAACTTCAACTACTATTCTACCATTTAGTCCTATTAATAGATTTGGGATCACAGAATTTAATTATGAAACAATTTATTATGGATAAATTAATTATGTGTTAGTTACAGAAAACTGGGAAACGAAATATTTACAAAAAATAGACTGAGTGATCTGATGAATAAAAAATGATTAGCATTCAGTTTATTTTAAAAAAATATCTCTTTAATGAACAATCAGCATTTATTGAATCTACTCAATATTTTGCTTATGATAGGCCAATTTTTATTTTTATACCATAAAAATTTTTATTAGCTACTTCTTGCACTTATGAGCAGAAAAAAATGTACTTAGCGCATATTTTCGGTAAAAAAGGGTATTAAAATTCTAAACTCACTCTATAGGAAGGAAATCGAAACTTCAGTTGATATTTCCTTCGAGAAAATTCTCAATAGAAGAACGCGAGAAAGAAGTTGAAGGAAAAAGCAGAAAACTTGTCAGATAAAGAATCAGCGAAAGAGTTGTAGATGTAGTTTATAGATATGGAAGTTTCTTTCGGTTCTTTGATTTCAAAAATTCTCCACTTCTGATGCCAATTTAACTGAAAATTTGGTATGGAATTAACTTTTAGTATATTTTAAAAATAATTCTAGTAGAAAAGAGTATACATTATATTTCCATTTGTGTCTTTTTGAATAATTATTTTAAAATGTAAAATAAATTTCATTAATTAAATAATAAAAAACTATGTTCATACGACTGTTTGAAGAGAGATGTTTCAAGCGCAGTGACAATCATTGACTCAAGCTTTACTGAATTAAGGATTTGGTGAAGTGGACGTGTTGATAGAAAGTTTCATAACAAAAGTTTGATAATGTATATGGATAGAATAATGTTGCAACGAACTCACGTGATAATTTCATTATGAAACTCGTCACATCTAATAGTGAGATTTCTTGTGTAAATGTGGTTTATAAAATTAAAAGGTATTCAAGTAAAATGAGAGTGCAAAATAAAATAGAGATAAAATAAAATTCTTCAAAGTCTGACTATTTTAACTTTGGACTACTAAAAATGATACATTCCCATTATTCTCTTAATATAATTAATTAACTTTCCCTATTCTATCATTGTAGATGAAAAAAATTATTTTTTATTTATTGATACACTAGAATTATTCAAGGTAACGTCAATTTTTTATTGATGAACTCAAATACCAGGATGGTGATTTCGATAAAATCCTCACGTTTTGAGATAAACAACCATCCTGAATAGTGTTTGAAAAATGCCTGGATGTGAGCAGAATGTTAGTCGACAATGTCTGAAAAAAGGTGACTATAGTGGCGATGAACCTAAGCCCGAACAATGCACCTTTCGTAAGTGAAGACGAGTGAAGCTTCTACAATCATTTTAAAACCATTAGTTTTTCCCAATTTGTGTACAACTATTTTATTTTTTTATTCTATTTATTCGGTAATTTCGTTTTTAATGTTAAAAAACAACCCAATTTTTTATCAAACAATAACAATTAAATAAATAATTGAGAGACTTAATTAATAGTCAATTAATTACCTCATTAAAACACTTAATATATATTAAGTGTTCTAATGAATAATTATTATCAATTAACTATTCCAATCTAGAAAGGAGTTGATTGGTTATAATGAGTATCAAAGATTATTCTCAAGTGCTAATCACGGTCCAAAGTTTATCTTCATTAATAATTAGTTTATAATTATAGATAATTCTTCTATTATAGATGTCTATTTATTCCTCATTAACACTCATTCATTGGAACCACATGATTTTATAATACACTTTATCAAACTGGAAACATCAACAAGCCTGAATCAACCAAGCAGGAGTAAATCAATTTAATGCCTCATTTCATAACAGTAGGTACAAGCAGATATGCTTTTTTTGCTTCTTTATTTTTTGCCATTTTTGCTCTTTACGTCATCTATTTTCTACTGGCATATAAATCATCACTAACTCTTTAAAATTAGTTCAATATTTCCTTCTCTATTATTGAATAAGTAGGCTAATTGTAAAAGATAGATTTTGAAAAATAGATTCCAGTAAAAAATGAACAAAACATCATGGTTTTAATCGTAAAATTAATTGAAAAGAGTTTTATTCATTACTCAACTTTATTGTTTCAAATAAAGTCCTTTGTAGTCGAGAGAGCTAAATTGTATCATGGTTTTTTTTGAAGTCTGAAGATATGTCAATTAAAATAAATTGACAGTTTCGAGTTGAAGTAGATATGTTTTAAAACAGCTTATAAATTTTTATTTCTTGTTTCACCAGGAAAAAATTGGTTTGCAATATTTCCAAGAAATACAGAAAATAATTTGTACAAGATTCTAGACTTGTTGAAATTAAAGGAAAATTTTTTAATTTTTTTATTTTAATCAACATCCTAAGAATCTTGTGCACAATTTTCAAAAACTTTTTAAATAAGTGTGATGGTTTTTATCTTAGGAAACTGACAGTGATAAAATATTGGATTTACGGCAGTTAAAAAGTAATTTGGCACAAAAATAGAAAAGAAAGTTGAAGAAATTACAAATAACATCAAGTTAAATGAAACTCACCAGTTGGACTTGGAGTAAGCTCCTTCATTGTTATATCCACGTGGATATCATAACGATCAAACAGTCCTAATCTTGGTCCTCGGGTGCTTCTTTGCAGTGCACTGATCGCAGTCAAGGCAGCTTTTTTGTACTCTCGAAACCCAAAAGTCTTAAATGGCACCACCATTCCTACCTGTTAAACAATTACACTGGAGTATTTTGCTCATATACAAAGTGCTTAGTATGTAGTAAGCTACTTTTTTCTGCAACAACAGTAAAACAATGATGCTCTTCGACTGGAGTGTAGAGAAGTATGTGATTTTGCTTCAAAAATAAGACTCATTATGAGAATTCACCATTATTGGAGTCATTTTCTTTTAATTAGATAATTAGCTGACTGATGAAAGAAGATCTGATGACTTGAAATAGTAATAAAAAATTTGAAGAAATTTTTACTCTTTGTTTTGACTTTTCAATTCTTGAAAATGAGAATAGGAGCAGATTAATACTTAAGTTAATGATTTGATCACAATTGGTGGAAATTAGATAATGAATATGTGATTCAATTAAAAATTGGATAACTTTGTTAAAAAAATCGCGACAATTGTACTATTCCCATTTTTGTAAAATTTTATTAACAAAACAAAGTTACTTTATAAAGTGTAGTTGATGTTTAATAGATTTTTTTTATAAATTTTGTTCATTCAAAACAAACAATATCATGTCAAAGTAAAAAAATAAAAATTTTTGAAAAAAATAGATTTTTTATTCTAGATATTTTTGTATCCTGATAAAAGAGTTTTTGAATAAATACTCTGCACAAAAAGAAAAAATGTGAATAGTGAATGCAATTTTTTCATTTTGCAAGAATGAATAATTATTCTTGAATAAAAAATAACTAACCATTGACCTATTTATCTATTTTTTTTTAGATTAAGTATAAATTATCATAGGCTTGAGTTAATCGTAATATTTCATTAGTTAAATTCAGACTATTATAAAACAAAAAATTATTCTATTATTTACTAATCCTTACAATAAGATTAAAATCCATTGTTATCAAAAATCATCCTATTTATAATTAATAGTCAAGTAATTTAACATTTATTTATTTTAAATTTCGTTCTTTTTTCTAAATTTATGTTCAAGAGTGTACGTAGAAAGATCAAGAGAGCGAGAAAGTGATAAAAAATAAGAGCAAAAGAAATGAATATTCCGTATGAAATAATTGTAAAAGTGTATTGGAGTGTAGATAAAAATGTTCAAGTGTTTTGAGAAGAAATTTTTACGGAAAGATTATTGAGTTTAAGTGTTCAATTTTTCTATACGTACTCTGAAGAATCAACGAGGTAGTCGAATAAAAAAATGTAAACAAAAAGAGACAAAAAGTGTTGATCGAATGTCCAGAAAAACGATTGTATATTGTTTTTTCTTTGATCTACTTACTTAAACGAAATATTTCACAATTGTTCATTATTGTCTCTCCAAAAAACTTCATAAATACAACTTCTAGCTTTTGACCAAATAATTAATAGAATTTGATCACAATGATTGAACTTGATATTTTGCAGTACAACGTAATTGAATATTTATTATAATCATACTAAATTAAAAAGAGCTATTGTAATCAACTATTAAAAGAGAAATCCCTTGATCTGCTAAAATAAGTTTTAAGAATACGATAAGTATCCTTTGAATTCAATAAATGCAATAAAATGAAGAAAAAATTACTGTCTGATATCGAGGAATTTAATTTAAAAATACTTAGGTGTAATTGTTATTTTTTTATCCTGAATTAGCAAATGAGAAAAAATTAGAATTGATTAATCAAAAGATCTTTTCAGTCAGCAGTAAAAATGGTGATTACTCAAAGGTTCTTGAAAAAATAAACTTGTTAAACTTTTCATCAGTAATAGAACAAAATCATAAGTTAATTTCACCTGTTGCTCACTTCGATTATTATGAATAGGTGAATCATAAACAAAGACTTGTTGACATGTAACTTAACCAATGTGTCCGTAAACAATATAATTATTGATTGTATCAAATACTCGGTTTCAAAAATCTATACTCATGAGTTTTCTCTTTCCAAAAACAGTTATTTAAATGTAATTGAGCAAAATTTAATTGGAAAAATACAACAATTAAATTTTATCATTAAGAGCTTTTAATTAGTATATTCAAAAGCTTAATTTGTAAAATTGGGTTTTATAGGAAATCATTTGGTGAAATTGATGGTATTTTAATTAAAAACTACAGGATGATATAAAAGTTGCTAATATTTGAATTGAGTGAAAAATCCTTTGGATGCAAAAACTGATAGTGGATTTTTCATTTTAGATCATTTTCAAATGACTAAGCCTCCATAAAATATAAAAGAGCTTTAATGGAAAAAAGAAACGTTTTAAAACTACCTCGTTTGAATATTATTGAATGTTGATTGATGTGAGGTAAAAATATAAAAATAAAGACAAAAATTCTCTATTATATTTTGGGTTTTTAGAGTTATCTAGGACACATAGTAACAGAAGCCTGAGCTACTCAATGCTATCATTTTGCATGCAGAGTGTATTTGATATTTTTAGATAAAACCACTTTAGAAAAAAAAAAAAAAATGAGAAAAAGGCTGGAATAAAAAATTATAATTGACATTTTCCGCTATTAAAGGATGATGTGAAGTTGAAGTGAATAATCTTTCGTACACTTACCTTCAGGTAAGAGATATTTTGACTGCTACCACCTGAGGTAGGTAGCTGAGGAGCATGAGTAAAGTGAGGCAGAGGTGTAGTGGTTGTAGTAGAGGTTGTAGTGGTAAATGCTGCAGCTTTTTGTCGAGTAATATTACCTCTACCCTCACCCAACCTTACACCAGAACCTCTTCCCACTCCACCTTTTCCAGAGCCAATTCCAGAACCTCTTGATAAAGTGCCTCTCTCACTAACTCCTATTTTTATTGTGCTTTCTCCACGTACTACGTCTTTCCCACTAAAAAATCCCATGCCTCGACCTGGACCAATGACCACCAGAACCAGGACCCATGTGCAAGAAACTGGGAGCTTCATGATGACGGTCAATTTCTTCCTCGATTTATTTTGCTTATTTCAATTTCAATATGTCAAATAAAAATACTTGTAACATCGAATCTCTCTTTTTCCACCTTCCCAAAAATTTAATTTTCAAAAATTTCGGAAGTTGTCTCATCTTTTCATTTCCTTCCTTTGTTTGTCCAGTATTTCTTTGTCTCGCTTGTCTTGACTTTTTCGCACGTTCTAGTGAATAATCGTTTGCAATCTTTTACCTCAACTTCGCCCCATGTAAACGTGTCTTGTGACGACACAAACACAATAGCGTGGCTCTTCCTTCTTGGCAGACATTCTCGCTTTTTCTGCTGATGTCGACTGCATGAAAGTCTTTGCGCTCCACTGGAACAAAAAAAATATTCGTAGATGTTATTGAAATTTTTTAATCAATTTCATATTGAAATAAAATATAACGTTAATTATTAATTAAGTAACATTGTGATTTTATGTTTGTTTAATTGAATTAAAAAGAAAACTACATTCGTGGAATTGTTTTTCAAACAATATTATATAAACTCAATGAAATTTGATATGCATTGAAATACATATTCATAGTTCTCAACCATTAATTGCAATTTATTTGTTGTTTATTACATATAAAATCAAAGCCTTGTTTTCCGCACAACCAAAAATCGGTAATTTGGTACTTTGTATTCATTAATTCGAATTTCGTGTATTTATATATTGCAAAAGTAATGTTATTAACGTTATTTATTGTCAAAGCTCTGTGGTTTAGTTACTGGTGTATGTTTAATAGCTATTTTGCTTATTAAAAAATAAATAGAATTAAAATCCAGACTGTAAAGAAACTTTAATTCCTGTGTTCTCTCTAGAGTTTATTTTTAAATTTAGATTAGAAATGAATTGCCGAAGAATTTTATGAAATCCAGTTAACATGTAAATTGTATGGAAAAAATGGAGATAAATTGTAAGAAAAAATAAACACCGAAATTTAATCGGTATAATATAGATCAATACAATACAATCGCTAACAAGATATTGTTAATTTAAACTGAAAACAGAATGTTTGTTGCAATTTTTATGAAGGATTTAAAATTGAATGAAATTGGATTCAATAGAAATATTTGTTTAATTAATATTAAATGGGGGAAAAATATAATATCGTTCCGTTAATCTCAATTTCTACTACAATGTAGATCGCAGGTGGTGGAACAATTGTGCAATTGATTTTACTACCATATTGAACTGTGAAATCTAAGCAAAGTTTGGTAAATTTTAAGGAAATATAGCTTAATTTTCTAAATGATATTTGCTAGATTTTCCTATGATCGTATATTACAACAGCATCGACCATTTATAGTTCTCTAAGTCACCGATATTATATTGGACATAAGGACATTTATAGCCATATCCTGGAACTTAAAGTTTTATTATTCTATGGAAATAGATAAAATTATTATTCATGAATTCCAAGAATATTAATTTTATGAATGTATTGATATTAGATTGGTTTCGAATCAATCCTTTAGAAACATTTATTATCATTTTTATGATTGCCGTAAGTCATATCATGTATTAATAACCACAATTCCATGTTAAACTTCCTCAGAATTGCTGTACATATCAATCAAAATTTATAAACTGTAAAATAATAATAAATTATAATAAATAGTTAATAGATTATTTTCAAAGATTATTTTAATTTAAGAATTATTCAATTTAACAAAAAAAACTTTTGACATAGTAAAAGCATTTCACTTTTGAGTTTGAAGAGAAAATTTTTTTACTTTTGAAGCTAGAAAATATTTCTTTATGAATGTTTGGATTTCCAGATGAATGTTTTCCACTAACAAAAATTAAAAAGTTTTTTCTTAATTTTACGTTGAGTATTTTCACATTTGTAATGAGTTTGCTTTATTTTACTTTATAAATACTTTAGAAGAACCATTCTCTAACAATTTTTATGCAAACTTATGAAACAGAAGCTGACCTATTGTGGTTTAAACTTAATTACCCTTCAGTAAAACAATCTGTTGTCCATTACCACAAGGTTCATGAACACTCGAGCTGCTGTATCTGATTCAGAGATACAAATATTTATTAACTATCAATCATAAATATCAACATTTTGTTATTTGTTTTTAGTTAACGTATTTTTAGAGATATAATAATAACATGAATTTACTAATAAGAAGACTCCTCGAACACTATAAAGATTATCTAACACAAGAGGAGTTTTGTCGGAGTTTATTTAGGGTTGTTTAAAACTTCTCTAATGTAAAAGAAGTCGTAGCTGACTTTAAATAAACTTCTCTAAAACTCCAATTATGTCTGAAGAGTTTCAAATGATTCTACTTTTATGTATATTTATGGTTTATTCACCGTCATTTAACAACAGGACATTACATCATATATGTCGTGTCAGACCCGGAAAGAAATCCTTCTAGACTTACATCATAACTCCGCATTATAATTTAGATAGAATTTTATAAGAATTATTTACATGAATAGATAGAGAATCTTTTAGTGAATCAAATAGACAGAGATCCTGCGATGATATTAACTTCAAGAGATGGAATATATATTTATAATATTGTTAAGGTTCTAAATTCATCATCCTTCAAGTTATAAAACATAAACCAACAGGAAAGTTTCCATTTTTTATTGACTCCAAATAGTTATAAAAAAATACTGCGAAGGGATTTAAGTAAATTTTGTACTTCTACATTGATAGAAACTTTTTCCAACTTTATAGAGTATAGTATACTTTGTAATAAAATTATATTTTTAATGGAGAATAAATTAATTATTTTATTTAAAAATGGATTTAAATCTCAGGGGTTCTAAAAGTTTTGGAAACTAAATTTGTTTATTTGCCGGGTAATTATTATGCAGTAACCAAAAACAGGATTGTAACTAACTTTCTTGCAGGTAAGACCAATTCAGCAAGTTAAATCGTTTATTTTTTGCATTAAATACGTGAACTTGTAGTGGTACTAACAAAAATACTGGTGTAAAGTTTTCACAATGAAAAAAACTTCATATTCTACGTATCATATTGATGAATATTTTTTATTTGACGTAGAGAATTGTAACTGTGATTTAATTTATCTTTTCAATTTTTAATTTTGTAAAAATAACTTTTTAATTTTGAGAGTTATGCAAAAAAGTATTTGTCAGGTATATCTTTATGATATTAACAAATCTAAAACAGAAAATTAGTCATTGGTTAATAGACAAAATGATTTTCAATAAAAATCATGATTATTTTTCATTAAAAACATTTCTAATTAAGTCAATTGTTTCTGTTCTTTTAACAACATTGGGCTAAAAGTGATCAACGCGATTAATTATATTCACTTTAATGTTTGCTGTCAAACTAATCGGATAAAGACTGACTAAATGATGTACTCTGTGATTAGTCAATAAACCTTTCGAAACAATGCGTGTTAAATTTCGGTGAGATGCTAATTGTCACTGCCTTTTATACACCTAAACTTGGAAACGACAAGATCGATAATTTCAATCAGTGTCAAGTAACTCTGATATGTATCTTGAAGAGCTTCAACTTGCCTTGCCATAGATGACATCCTGTTTGATGACATTTCGAAAATGGGCAATTTCTATTTTCGCAATTAAATCGTCTATCTAGAAATGCAAAAGCTATGGAAAATAATATGTACCTATTTTTCACAAAAGAATTTTCTAAGAGTACGACGTTTTTGTCATGAATATTAAATGATCACGTCGACTTTTACTTGCAAATCGCATCTACAGCTTCGGAACTCTATTCCCGGCTGATCGAACGATAAGTCAAACTTATGGAAGTTTTATTGTACCATGTTTTTTAGTTTAATCAAGCAAACTTTCTCTACCCCGATGGGATCAATATTTTCCTCGAAATTTTGCTTTTTTTGAATAAAACTAAAGTACCATGTTTATTTCTTTTATCAGAGAAATTCGGTCAGTTTGAAACTTTTCCAAACTTTGCTGAATAATTTAGAAAATATTTCTTGTTGCAATTCGAATCATGCAAGATTATTTGATACTTTGAAAAATAAATAATGTGCCTCAAATACGACTTGAAAATTCAAAAGAACAGAATTTAACAAGGAAGCTAAGTAAATCTTGGGATAACTACATTGTTTCCATTGACTAGACAAACCAAAATTCTGCCCTCGTGATATTCCAATCCGACCCTTCCTTTTTTATGTGATTTCGGTCATCTACAAAATTTACGTGACCGCCTCAATAACAAACGAAAATCGGACTAACATGAATTTAACATTTTTTGATCATCAAAATAGTCAGAAAAAATTAAAACACTTAGATTTGTTAGTTAATGGTAATTAATTTGATTAAATAACTAAAAATTAATAATTATTAATAAGCCAAACAATTTTAACTCTATTTAATAATTTATAAATTCATTATATAATGGTATAATGAGTTAGCAGTGAATTATCAACATTGTTGATGAAGTGGAATTTTAATGGTCTAATTAAATGGATTTCGAATTTGAGGACGATTAAACCAGTTAAAACAGAGCTATATGTCTATGAAATATACAGAAAATTAGAAATATTTGATCCAATGAAATTGAAAATAATCTTATCACCTTGATTCTGAATAAAGATCAAAGAAGTAAGTAATTTCTCTGGAAGATCTTCTAAATCCAATTGTTAAAACTCAAGAAGATTCTTAAATTGCTCAATTTATTATTTAAAAGTTATTAGAGCAAACTTAAAGGATACTTTTAGGATTTAAACAGAGAGAATGGCTTGAATAAAACATTGTATATATAAGTAAAATATTTTAACTAAAGAACCGTGTCATTAACTGAAAATAAGTACATCACGTAAATCACTTTTTCACCAGATTTAAACTGAATTTTATTGGTCGACAATGTAGTAAACTTGCATTCTCTACAATTACTTATACAGAATAGAATGAAAATTTAGTGCGGTATAAAAATACGAATTTAAACGAAAAGTAGTTTCCATTGATCTGGAGTGATCTCAAAAGTGTTTCTCAGATCTCAAAAGACCCTTAGAAGTCAATAACATGTTATAATTGTGACAGTACTGGTTCAAAAGAGCTGTCACGTTGATTATACATAGGAACATTTTAAACAAATTTTGACGAAATAAAATTCATTAGTGGAATGTTCTTATATTGATCAGATTTCAACTATGTTATATTATAGGTTTTTTCTAATAAATTTTTTCCTATTTTTTGTTAAAAGATTAATGAGTAGAGACAGCTTTTATATGCATATTAATTGATTTTTCATTCTCATCCATAGTTTACTTTGATAAATCAAATTCAATTTTTAGTTTTCAAATGTAAAAATTGTATTTTGAGTTGATTTTTTTATCAAA